CCCGTAGTCATGTGATCAAAATTCAGATGCTTGGCAACTGACTCATATTTATGACGGTTACAGGGATCATGTGATCACCTTTTGGGGCCTTCTGACAAGTCAGTGAGGAAGCTAGGTTCACTTAATAACCATGTTATTAATTTAACAACTGCAGTGATTCACTTACCATCAGTGGCAAGAAAGATTATAAAATGGGCAAAATTCACTTGTCTCGCTTAGCAACAGAAATTTTGGGCTCAATTTTGTGGTTGTAAGTCAGGGCTGTATTGGACTGTATTTTTGATTTGTGGGGGGAAAACACTGCTTTAAACGCCATAAAACTAAGGAAGATTTAGGTTTGTATTAGTTGCTTAACAAAAAATGACACTTTCCTGCATGTGGACATGACAGAAAAGAGATGTGGCCACAACAAAATTTGTACAAAGTAGAAGTGGGGAAAGGACTTTATTATCTTATGAAAATCTGAGCTCTGACAAACTAATCCTTTCTGGGATCTTCATTTTTTTTAAAACCATGTTTATTGCACTGCTTATTCAATAAGAGTTTTATACAATTTCTAATTTAATTCCTAGCTTTAATTATCTGTTGTAAGCCATACAAGCTATTCAGTTCTTCAGTTGTTACCAGACTCTGGATCTCAGTAGGCATTCTCAGACCATGTTATTTCTCAATCTTAACTCTTGTTTATGTGTGACCCTTTCCCCAGATGCTTAACAAAAATGTGAAAAATATAGAGCTTTGACTCTAATTTCCTGCACAGCAAATTCAACTTTCACCTTAAAAACCAGAAGTTGGCCATATTCCTCCAAGCAAGGGTAGCTTGCCTATAATAAAAGAGCTCAAAAAGCATAAGTGAAAGGTGGAATGTTCACTATCATCTCTGTATACTGTCCACTGTAAAAACAAATGGGGTGGAACATGTCAGATTTGGTCCCAAGCTGCGTATTACACTTTCCAATTCAATGCAGCCTGGATAATATTCAGATGTGTAGGTTTCATTGCCTAGAAATCTCTATATTAGCCGTCTTCAAGTATTCAGGAAGATGAAGTTCATGCATCTGGAAGATTCCCAGATTATTATTATTAATAATAATAATACGATAGTAGAAGATCACATTGTCACACTCAATAGCAGATTTGAAGAGGACCAGTTGTTATATTTCATTTCATTCAGTTACTTTTAAATGATGGAGATGCTGGGGAAAGGTATAATATTCTAGTGTGGAACAAAACCAGATGCTAGGAATAAGTATAGGGAGTTCTGTGACCTTTCAGATGTTGGTGAACTACATTTCCCAGCATCCTCCTTTAAAGGTCATATTTTACTGGCTCTTGATAGCTGTGGTTCAACAACAGTTTGAGGATCACAGAGCTCCCATCTCCATTGGCAAGGTCATTAACGTTTTTAGCTTTGTAATGTTGTATTTGCTTTATGTAAAATATAGCAGGAATGATTTGGACTGAATTGGTGATTTAAATCATGATTATTCAAACTCATATAGTGATTTTAGTCATGATTATTTGAATTAAAATGGTGATTTGCATCATGACTATTCTCAAGATAAACCAACATTTTTCTTAAAATATTTAAACCATGAAAATATTGTTTACACTGAAAATGATTGCTTAAGTTTTGATCACCTTTGTGAATTTTCCTTACTTCTGACATATTTTTTAAAATGAAAACTAAAAGACAGCATCCACATATTGTCAGCTGCTGACAAATGAATCTGTATTTCTCTTTTTCCCTTTTAAAGAAAATAAAAACTAACTCAAAGTAGTCTGCATGATATTTGTCCACATATGGAAACAACTTTTAGGGTCAAATTGCTTGGCCCTGAATCAGATTCTTCATCTAACAAATGCAGCTTGGCTATTCTGCTCAAAGTCCCCTGAGCTTTTCATTTCCTTAAATAAATGTTTTATATTGTTACCAGAAAAAAAAAACATATGGGAAAGTATGTTGAAAGGTTGATATAATCCAAAGCCTAGTGCAATTTAGTGATACAAGCTATGTTGTGCAAAGTTTTTAGTACTGCCTTATTTTCTAATGATGTTTTGAACTTTAATCTAAATTTTGTTACTATTATTTTCAGGAAATTATTTTTCCATCTGAGGTACAATGGCCTATTGCCCAGTGCAGGGCTTCTTAAGTAGCAAGATACGCCATTTCCTTCTTGATAAACATGGGGATTAATACCATGAGTTGTTAAGGATATCTAAATGCTGTAATTTTAACCACTTTGTCAAATGAAAACCCAATTAGAAGGTATCAGTTGTGGATCTGAGTGTAATTGTGAAAGTAGACATAACTCACTGTAGAGTCTACACACTTTTATTCATATCTCCGACTGGCCAGGTTTATTTTTTGTGCGAAGTCACTGTTGTCTTACATGCATCATGACATAACAGTGTCTAGGCGTGCAGAATATATTAAACTATCAAAATGCCAACAGATCACTTATGGGGTAATAGAATATATAAGTGTAGTTGTAATAGCCAATCAACTTTACTGTCAGATTTATGTCAAATAAATTCATGAAGAATTTCACCAATGCTAAAGTTGCAATTGTACTGTGCCACCCAAGAGAACAAAAGCATGTGAACAAACCAATCTATTAGACTAAGGGCTATCTGTTTTGAGTTTTGTATTTCAGCATGTCTAGCCAGACACAAGCAGCACATCAGCAAAATGGTGTCTCTCACTGCAGTTGTTTGATATTATTTCAATATTTACAGGGCACTATACTGATAGCTCATTCAAATCCACTAAGTCTAAATTAATCATGATTAAAATCATACAATCAATTAAAAAAAAATGTCCTACATACTTTCCTATGGAACTGAGAATCAGAACAAAAACATCAACAACTGTGACTACAAGAAGACCACAGTAGATATTTAGTCTTTAATGAGATTCTGAATGAATCAACTTCTGCTTATGAAGGTCTCATAACATTGTCCCCTTTCACACACAACTATCAGAATATTATAATAAAGCCCAGGCCTTGTTTTCATGCTCTGCTAAGCCAGCATTCTCCATCCTAGCATCTTCTAGATAAGCAGATTTCCAGGAAATCTTGTGAACACATTTGGAGGGCATCAGGGTTCAGAATGACCATGCTAAACCTTATTAAGCCATGATTTTGCTTAGTATTATATGTGCACCACATTTATACTATGGTTTAGCATAATGTATAAACGTAGCTAATTGCAGTTTCTAAGTAAATCTGATGTCCAAACATGGTATGAGATCTGGAACTGTAACTTCTCTAGTATAAGTAACCAAATAGCAAGTAATGTAAAATATTTCCAGTTTTGATCTTAGTAATCTGTTAACGGTTAAAATAAGTAATATTGGCTAGACAAACTAACTAACTTGAGGAAACATTTCTATACTTGTTTTCCTTATATTTGCTGCCTTCAATATAATATGATTGTAATACTCACTTCTAATTATTAATCATTACAGTATTCTTATCTTATTTTTAATAGCACTATAAGGGTGCATAATTCCTACTTAGCAGAGTATGAGAACATTGCCTGGGTTTTATTATAATACTCTGACACTTATCTGTGAAAAGGGACAGTGTTACGAGACAATCATAAACAAAATTTGATCCATTCAGGTTATTAGCTGAATTGGATGGAGAAAAGAAATGGTGAAAGGACAAGTGGCTGGAATTGTATCATAGGGGTATATTCAGTTATGTCTGGCATGCCTAAATAAATTATATTAAATTGAAGCACAGGGTGCGGTCTGATCATTTTTAGAAATATTGGAGCAGTTTCAGGGCCTCTCCACCCACCTGAGTCCCTGCTAAGACAAAGGCTTAGAATTTGATTGCATGCTGCCTATTCATCAATAGGATGTACCATCTACCTCATCTATTTATTTATTTATTTTCTGTGCTATCAGCACAGTTGCACTTTTCCTGTTCTGGAAAAACTCTTAATTCCCATGACACAGCTGCTAATGGTTATTTTTCTATAGAGAAAGTGCCAGGCAGATCTGTTGCAGAGCTGAGCAGTTGCGTTTTTTTCTCTCTCTCTCTTAATAAAGCATACTAGGTCAGTAATTTAGGTATGAACAAACAAAATGAAGTAAAACTTTTTAAGGCTATGAGCAGCAGAACTAAACATCTCGTCATGTATAGGATGAATTCTGATAGGAAAAACATTGTTTCTGATTAGGTGTACGAAAACTTTTTATCATTGAATGTTATATTCCTTAAAACCTTACTTAATCTGCTCACTTCCAGATGCATTAGAGGTATCGCAAGTTGAAATCTGTGAACTTTATTCCAACACACCAAAAAGGTACCAAGCTAAAGAAGAATAAATTGATTTGAGACAGAGGAATCAGGGATCAAAAATATTGTCCATGATCATAGCTGCCATGATTTTTTAACACATCTACCCAACCCACCCACCCCACCCAAATCTACCTGCCAATGTTGAATGAAGTTGGAAGAATTGGTAGGTAGGACCAGAGACCAAAAAGTGTGAAGACTTTCATTTTTTTTCATGCTGACATGTACTTCCCCTTCTGCTGTGAAGCTGAAGTAACCCCAAAAGTGTGATCTGCTTTTTGTAATAGGTATGTGGGAATGACCTTGGGAGACCTGGTGAAGAGATGCTGCCTAGACAATTGTCAGACAAGGGGAGCATAGCCCACAGCTGCATAGTGGGTGAAGCAAGAAGCTCAAAAGAGATCGTCCCAATATTATTGGGCTGTAAAGGGGAGTGGGAGGGAAGAGACTTGCAAGGTCCTATTAATGTAGCTTTATAATAAAGCAGAATTAGGTTATCTGGCTGTGTTTCCTATCTGATGTATATAGTAAGGATGACACTTTCAAATGATTTTGAAGTAAGCTGAGAACTACTTTAGTCTAACGTGAGATCTCAGGTTCACAGGACAGCTTTAGGGAAAAATAAACAAACTCTTTCATTAAGAGATAGTGAATATTTTATTTTATATTGTCAAGGACCCCAGATTAGCACACCTGGACTATATAACGTGCCATTTAAAGAAAATATAAATATGCTTCTTTCTATGTAAAATGTCTATAGATTCACTAGTGCAACAGTGCATCACTACGGAATAAGAACAACTCATTAACGGGATGTTCAGGAAGGCTGAATGCAACCATTTAATCTCACCAAAATTACACATTTATACAATGGTAAGCATGTGTTTAGTCTCAAATGTGATCTACTTTCTTAATTTTTTAAAATGAATACTTATAGCTTAGTTGCTCTCCTGTAAAAGGCACAAAGGGAAAAGGTGAAAAGAAATGGCAATTCCTCAGCCACTCAAGGAAATGATGTGGATTGAAGAACTAGTCTCATCGGGTATAAACTTCGAGTTTTGTCACATTTTTTCATAAACTCTTGTACACAGGGCTCCTTTCATGATGCATTCCTAAAAAGAGAAACATAATTTGAGATATAAAGCAAGTTATAATCACACGATTAGCCTCCACACTATTATACAATATATTTATACAAATGTAAGATGGGAATTCATATTTTTAATTTTTTTTAATTAAAAATGAATAATAAAAGCTTATCTTAAATATTGTAGCTAGCAAGTTTATATTGGTTTTGATTTTGGTTTCTTTTCCAGCCTTCTTGTACAGTATCTCTTATGGTACTGCTGCCTATAAAAAGTCAATGACCAAAATCCAAGATGCTTTTGTTTAATTCTAAGGAACACAAGATTTAATAAAGAACAAATAAGTCAGCATACTGTATGCCTGGAACTTTCTCTGAATGCTAATGATCATGATGTGAAACTGATTCTCCCTACAATTTGCACATGTATCTATAATTTTAATCTATAATAAGTGAAGCAGTCTTAAATTTAGCTTTAGAAGAGGGTGGAACACAGTTTCTGAATGATGGCTGTAAAAATTTACAGTAACAACGTAAAAAGAGCCTAATGAACCAATCCTGTCTACAGCAGGAAAGCCAAAAAAGCAGGATAAGAACACAATGTTCTCCTGAACTACATTTATTAGGAGATAAGGCAAAGGAACGTACTGTTTTTGTAAGTATTATATAACTATCAAGAGTAATAACTACAAACAATCTTTCTTTCATTTGCTTATTCCGCTTATTCCGCTTTTACAACCATTCCAGTTATTGACCATTGCTAAATCATGGTGTACCAAATTCTAGTTAGCTTCCTTTAATCTGATTTAACCTTCTTATTATTCAGCTTCACTGTATTTATATCTGACACTTTGAGAAAAATATCTCCCTAACCACTCCACATGCACAATTTTATTATATAATTTTCTTCTTCTTTTGCTATGTCTACCTAATATAAAAAGCTGAAAATATCCTTACTCATTTGGGCCCTTTGAAACTAGTCTTGATTTTAATCAAATTGGCTCATACGTATGTTTTAACTGATGAACATCACCCCAAAGTTAAAATCTGCCTTAAATTGGACAACTATGGAAGAATATATTCAAATCCATCCATTCATAAATTATTCTCTGAGCAAATAAAAATGCACTTCCTGTTAAGCCACACATTTTTATTCCTTAATTTTAAAAATATGTTTTCAACAGATTTTTGATGTGTACTGTTTTCATGTATACAGTTGTGATCAAAATATATCCCTTGCCATTCAGAAGTTCCTAAGATTGCCATAAATAAATTAAACATGTGAACATCCCGTAGTTTTCTTGATTAAGAAGAGCTACTTACCACCACCATTCTCCCATCAATTAGTTTCCTCCTTATTGTCGATTCTTTGCCATTCCATTTCTGCACTTGAACCAGTGCTCCTTTTTCTAAGGTTACAACAGTCTGTAGATCCAAATATTAATTCTAAAAATTATCATTTTTACACAGATTGGGTACAATAAAAATGTGAAGTACTATTAAACCATTCCCATGTGCAAAGATCTATCTATCTATCTATCTATCTATCTATCTATCTATCTATCTATCTATCTATCTATCTATCTATCTATCTATCATCTATCTTCTTCATCATCATCATCATCAAACACTTAGGAATAATCAGCTGAGAGAGAAAAAAGAGACACATATATCCTGCTTGTCACAATGGATAGCAGTACTTAGCTGACAATGGTGGCTGATCTTGAAAAAGCTAAGTAGAACTTGAGTGATGGGCTACCAAGAGACAGCAGGGCAAGAGACTCAGCCAAGAAGTCAAAATGCACCCTGGAAAAAATTCAGGACAAACTACTTTTGTACAATATAGATGAATCCATGAAGTCACCAGTCAAGCTGTTTCCTATATCCATTTTGCTATTTCTGAATCGTATGCGTGTGTTGTTCCATCATAAGCAGTCACTTGCAATCCTGAGCTTTGCTACTGTATATTAAATGGCTACAGTTTTATTAGAAATAAGATGCCAATTATTTTTCTGCTATGGAATCACAAACAAATGACCCTCAATATATATTCTAGTATATTTTCCTCTTGATGGATCCTCTTCCTATTTTTCTGCTTTTTCTTCCACATGATTTATGCTCAGTTCTTACATGGTTTGGGCCTTGTTTGCTTTGTTTCCTTTGATTTATTATTTGTGTTTGTATAATCCTTGGAGCCCTTCTTGATTCTGTCCTATTTGTATAGAAGCCATAGTTTTATGTAAGTCTGCTTAACCAAAGGTGGAAAATCCAGGGATCCATTAGTTGGCAGCAAAGTCAGTTTTCTCCACCTCTTTACAACCCTCCTGTAGTCATCTGAATTTTTGAGGCCAACATATAGTAGCTCTATTGTAGTAAAAAGGAAGTTACAAACCTTTCAATTACAAGATTTTTTCTTCCTTTTCTTTTGAAATATATCTTAAACATATCCAACACTTTTATGAGAATTTCCCTCATAAGGACTTAACTCTAAGGAAATATGGTAGACGGTAATCAACTGTTATCTAAATGATCCATTATTAATTTCCTCTGTGATCTGAAACTCTTACACTATTTCTAAGAGCATCAAAATACCTCAGATAAAATGTAAAAAAAAAAACCCAAACACCTTATTCACCTTGGTTTTCCTGCCATCAGCTGTGGTTTCTTGAAATTCTTGACCCAACTTAAATATGATCTGTGTATTTTTAAAGGCACTTTCTGTTCTGATTGTGACCTCATCACCCTTCATGCTGATGATGGTTTTAGGTTTTGCCAAGTTACCAAGTTTCCTAGTCGCCAATCCCACTCCTATAACAGCAAGAAAACAGTCTTCATTACTCATTTGACAAAAAGAGTATGTGTGTGTGTGGGTGTATTACGCAATTATCTACATCAATTATCTCTGAAAAGCAGAAATAAAAGAAATAATATAGTTGATGGAGGTCACCATAGTATTATTTTTTCAAATATAAATTTTATTATTTTCATCAAAAAAAAACATCACAGGTATATCACAATGCTATAAAGAAAAAAGCCCCATCCCCCACCCCCCACCCCCGGACTTCCCAAACCTAATCCCAGGATACTATTCAAATAAAAGTAAACTAGTATTAATATCCCTAACTCCACATCCATAGTATTATTACGTACCTGCACTCATCACAGGTTCATATTTAAATGACAACATTTATTTCTGTTCCTAGTAAGACAAATATGCATTTCTGTGAATCACATAATCATAGCCCAATATCCTCCCTATGGATAGAATTTCCACAGTGATGGTAAGGAACAACTGGCAGGGGACAATGGGAATTTTGCTCCAATAAGTCTATAGAGTGCCTGGTTGAGAAAAGCTAAAATAGTAACATCATATGAATAATAAAACTAAATAAATAAAAAATGGAAGCCAAAGCAGGATGAACTGCTTTTCTGTGATATCTTCTCTATATGAATAGTCAGTTTCCAGATGAAATTTTAGTTCTGTGAGGAAGCGCAACCAGGAGTACTAACTGTAGCTTTATTGTCACATTAACAGAGTCTTGCAATACTGAAAGTATTTCTCTTCTCCTTTACTTTTACTCTCCGGAAAACTATGGAGGGTCCCTTTTGAAACATTTCCCATACTCTCCCTCCTTTTGTGGGCTGAGACATCTTCCATATGCTGTTTGTGCAATCTACAGCTATCCCTCCTATCTCATAAGGTCACTTTCACCTACCATTACATCAACATGCAAGATCTGATTTTAGTTAATGAGTCTTCTGCACCAGATGTGTGCATCTGTATGCATACAATGCATGTGTACCTGGCTGAAACTTATTGCATTTCACATATTACCTCCAGGTGTGATATCCACATTCTTTGATGTTTGATGTCTGATGATCATTTACAAAGATGAATGATTGCTTGGTATGACAGGTACTTCTTGATGATGTAGAAATAAAGCACATGGTGGCTATACAAATCCAGAGGACTATCTGATGGCAGCAAAGAGATATAGGAAACTCTAATGTTCAGCTGCCATTTATTAGCCATGTGGATATTTGCAGCCCAGATCTGTTAACTTCACCACACATAATTTCCATTTTTTTTTTCAAAAATGTATTTTCATAGAGTTAAAAATAATCTGGAAGCACATCTTCTTAAGTATATCTTACAACAAACCAAATTAGCATTCTGTTGAAAAACAAATGGTAATACACATAGTTCTCTCTTCTTTCCTATTTTACTTCATACTCAGAAACAATATAATACAATACAATAGTTAATGTGTGTGTGTTGTGTGTGTGTGTGTGTGTGTGTGTGTTGGGTGGAACATCCGGTCTACCAAATGTAAAGCAATCTGTTCTGCATTTCACTCCAGTCTAGGAGCATCTTTTTGTCAGCCACAAAATTTTGAATATATATATTTAACACATAAACAGCAAACTTTCATATTTGATGCAACTAAGCTTCCTCAAAACATAGTTCTTTGGACAAAATAAACAACCAGATTTATTTTCCAGAGATATCTGACTTCATCAGTTAAAAGCCTTCACTGATGGACTAATTCTGCAAATGAATAGAAAGAGTTATGCCTACAATTTCTGTGCAAAAATAAATTTATTTACAGTAAAAACTGGTTATCAGGAAATTTTGGATTATTTATTTAAATTGATTAGTTACCCAGCTCCAATGGACTCAAATGAATTTTTCATTATTCCATCATGAATAATGAATAATGATTTGAAAGTAACAACAAATAGCATATTCATCTAATATAATAAAAGCTAAGTAAAAGATCCTAACATTTTCTAACATTTATTTTGAAGAGAATTAAGTGAAATGTTTATGATCTAATTGCAAAACTCTGATAAGAAATCAACAATAGATAATCTGCAACATTTTTTAAATCAACAAGATAAATCTCACCCAATTCTTTCATGTAATCATCAAAATTTTCACTAGAGATGAGTTTCCAGCTTCCCACAAATTTGTTGCACATAGTTTTTCTGGTTGGGAGCAAGGACAATGACAGGAGCAATTCTTAGCAAGAGGCAGATGGATTATATGAATGGTAATAGCCCAGCTACATCTTTTAAAGAGAGACTTAGGATAATGCAGTGCTCAGTACCTCCCAATGCTGAAGGGCAATGTCAGAGGCCAAACAATGGGCCCTTGTGCCATACTATTCATGCTAGTACCAAGACCAGCAGCATTTGCCTGCCACCAACTCCTCCGCAGTAATACAAAAAGGAAGGGGTGATGGGTGTGAGCTTGCTACTATTGTGCTGGAGCAGAGATGCTCTTGGGAAGGACAGCTTTTGATTTTCAGGAAAGTCTTATGACAATGTCTTATGAGGATGAGGAATAAATTTAATGTAGCCATTAAGGAACTAAATACAGATGAAGTAGTGCTTATGACAGAAAAAAGTTGTGTACTAAAAACTGATTCCAAAATTCCTCGCACTATGTTCATCATCAGAATGTCAACCTACTAGGAGGTCTTAAGATATTTCAGAATGTTGGAAGTATAGTACTATATTGTATACAATATTGACACATTCTCCTGGGAGCACATTAATCTAAGAGACTGATAACACATATCACAGAATGGCCTTAGAGGGAATTCAGCCGAACCCTTTGTACAACTGGGAATGTAGGAACTACAAGAGATGCTTTTCTAACTTCTGTATTTCAACCAAAAGAAATTCCATTACATTCATGACCATCTTCTTTACTGCTAAGAAGTTTATCCCAATGTTTAGTAGGCTTATGCAAAACTTTGAAGGCACAATGTCTTGCTTCACTGAAAGAATGCTTTGTCTCCATCTTTCTAAAAGCAAAGTGAAGCAGTTATGTTATTTTGCTTTAGCTCACTTGTGAGGCTTCCTTCTATGGTTCTAAGAGATGGAGGAGGATTCTGCACAAAAGCTCCTTGGTCAATCTCTTGACTTCATCTTAGGGAGGAAGTTGATTGCAGTCTTGTTATGGGAAGCATCGGGGAACAGCTTCTTCATGGTACCTTTTCAGTTATTTGAAGACTGTGATAAGCATTGCTAAGTTCAGTAAGTTAGAGTTAGAAGTTCTTTAGTGGATTTCTTTTCCTGATCACCCCAATCACCTATCTCTGCATATATTCTCTTTTTGTCAACATTATTCATAAGATATAATGTCTAACACATGACAGGACCCCAAAAGCAGCCTGACTAATGTAGAATAATAACTGCCTTTTCCAGTGATCTAGTGTTTGCTTTTATTAGCATAGCTTAAGATTGGACATTAAGTATGTATGTGTATATTTGTAATAGTGATGCCATAGTTTTGGCTTGCATTCAGTTTATGATCTACTAAGATACCAAAATCCTTCTCTATGTACTGCTCCCAAGTCTTTTATCTTTTAAAATGACTAAAAATGTGAAATTCATGTTTCAGAAGTAAGGTCCAGAATTTACTTAATATTAAGTATGAAGGCTTTATCTGCTGAAGAACAAGATATGATATTCACTTTTCCTGTTTTGCATCCAAATATGTGCCATATCAAATTAAGATATAACCAAGAAATATGCATCTGATTTCTTTCACTGATTTTTCTATACACTATGTACCAATGTTTCTCACCCTTAGCAAGCTGGCTTGGAAGTTCTGGAAGTTGAAATGTACACCTCTTCAAATTGTCAAGAGTGAGAAACTCTACTATAGCTTCTTCTCCATGCTGGCCTTCAGATGATTTTTATTATTTATTTATATCTCATTTTTATTATTTATAGAAATTATTATAATTGTATCGTTTTATATATATTGTTTTGTTTATATATATATATATATCTCAAGGCAGCAAGGTGTATTCAATACACCTTCCTCTTCTTATTTTCCCAACAACAATCCCGTGAGGTGAGTAGGGCTGACTGACTGGCCCAAAGTCAGCTAAATGGCTTTCATGGGTTAAGACGGGACTTGAACTCAGAGTCTATTGCTCTCTAGCCTGTGCCTTAACCAGTAGACCAAACTTGTGCATAAAGTAGTTGGAAATGAAGTTAGGTTAAGAAATCTCTTTCCAAATTTCAATTCATTCCTCCATGATGTTAAACTAGTGTCCATTAATTTTTTTGTGATGGCATCATTGCCCTCTTGTTTCTTAGTGCTTATGAGAATCTGCTTCAATTAAGTATTGTCAATATGCAAGTGTGGACCTATCAGCTGAGAAAGTATAGTATTGACAATGATGCTAATGTGGGAACCAGATTTTGCAACAAACCCAGATATCTAGTCTTTCCCCACATCTAAACCAACATATTCACAACAATCTGTGTCAAGAAGTACTTGATTACACAGATGTTTAAATGGAACAAACTTTGAGCAAAATAATTAAACTCTAAATCAAGATCATCTGTTTTTTTGTGTTTATATGATGTTCTAAATGATAATCTTCGAATACTGATGCTGATACAGTTCAAAGAACAAAAAATAAGGGCTGGTAGTTGGAAGGGAAGCCAGAAGGGTGCCCAAAAAAAAAAAAAGATAAATTCTTTGATTAATGGATGCTGTGATTGCCTAAAAATCTACCTCTTCTTGTACAGAAATGTTTACAACTGTTTTTCAGAGTTAATAAATCTTGAAAAGCATCTAAAAGATGAATATATTTATATATTTTTTAAAAAAATATTAATTGCTTTTTCTGTTGGGTAACTCCTAGTATTTACACTTACTTGATATGGATAATGTTGTCTGGAGAAGTCGACTCATTTTGTTGTAATACTATAAATATGTGTTGATTTGAAGCATGGCTTCTGTCCCAAGTTCATAGGTTGCTTTACAAAGTGTATTTCCTAATAATTTGAAAATGATTTAAGTTTTTTTATATATTAAAATGGAATGCTATCCCCACTTGGACCTCCATTAAGGAGCCTTTTGCATTTGTCTTGGTGCCTGGTATGTTCCCTTTCCTACCTCCCTTTCTATGATATATTCAAAATACTTGAATGGAAAGCTGATTCTTGTAAGTTAAACACCAACTTCATCTTTTATTTTTGACTGTTTCTGGAATCCCTAAGCATTCTTAGATCAGGGAGAGAAGAGAAGCTACACCAGCCAATGCTTTCTTAGGAAGTGAGCATACCAACTAAGAGAAAGGTAAACCAGGATGGTGGAAAATTGTGGAATTTAGGAATCAATCTAATGTCCTGGTAAATGAATATAGTCATGGTGGCCATGTCTATTATGGCAATCACTTTATGCTAAGTCCACAGCATAACTTTCAAATGTAATTTGGAGATTTTACAAGTCCTGCTTTAAACATTTTTTAAGATAATAAATATGGGTAATTCTTGGGACTGTCTCCAAATAACATAACAAGCAATTTCTGGCCTTCCTATTTTCTCAAAAGACATTAATTTATTCTCAGGAAGAATCCTAGATGTTTGTTCTAACAAATTATGTTTCTAAAATGATGATTCCTGAAACCACCCACTGGAAGCCCTGGACTGTATAGTTATTCCAGCATTTTTTAAAAAATTGATTTTTCTATAGGAAGTAAAATAGCGAACACAGCAGTAGAGAAACAATGAACTTTTCAATGTACGCACTATAAAAGAATAGGTGGGGCAGGGAAATTACACTTTAGCCTATTTCATTATCTACTACAGTCAGGTTTTTTAATACTTCAATAAGTGAGGAGTAATGAGGGTTAGTTGATCCCACAAAGAGAACCTGAAAATCTAGTTTGGAATGATCCTTGTTCAGTTTCCACAACTGAGCCAGAAACTTTTTCATTTCAAGGTAAACACTTTATTGAATAACCAAAATATTTTGAATTAGGTACAAAAGTAATTGGGAGTTGGGCTGTCAAATTCAGCTTCTGAAGAACAGGCTCTGCTCCCTGAATCATATTTTGTTTCGAGATACTTCTAATTTGTACAACATGGATTTTTCATGCTTTCTCATACACTCTAGTGGAGACAGTTTTGTTCATAACACACTCCTAGAAAGAAAAAAGTACAAAAATATCACTATTATATCAGCAATACTTATTTTCAGTAAGTGGATCAAGTGTTCCCTTTATCCAAATGAAGTACAAGACTATCAAGGAAGCCAACAGGATCTGGATTGATGCAACATGCTAAGCCCATTTTGGCTTAGTGTATTGCATGACCCCAGGCAATGGTGCTTTATTTAAAATCATATCCAAAGAAATGAGACTCAGATTGCTTAAGTCTGCCTATATGTGCTTATATCCTTGACCACTGAAATATGCACTAGACAAATTCTCTCCAAAAAGACCAGAAAAACAATTTCCAGTATTTGAAAATTGCTCTTTTGGCTTGTTTGAAGAGAATTTGCCTTACTTTTCTGTTTAGCAATGTACTGAATATTGTGTTTTTAAATAGTTTTAATTATGCTTGTATAAAAGACTGAAAAGTTAGCGGGGAAATATTCAGAACATTTAAGCAATAGTTTTTAAGATACCTTTGAGTTTCCAGAGTTTAGAGATTATGCAAGTCGACAGAATACCTTACTGGCAGCGTGTTTAGACATTTTTGTTGAAAACACATTTGCTTAAGGCCCTTCCCATGGTGTTGTCACATAAATGATCAGTTAATCCAATTGTTCTTGTTTGTACAAGTGCCTGCATGCCAACTTCATCCTGAAATCTGAATGACTTCTCATCTTCATGAAACTGCTCTTGCCACAGCTCATACATGGCAGTTTGGCATTACCTTTTCCAGTTAGAAGAGTATTTCCAATTACTTTTCAGTGAAAAACTGTCTGCTAGAATGCCTTTTCTTTGTTACAATCAGGACAACATTTAAACTACTAGGATTTTTTTTTCATTTGTCTTTTTGGAAGCATGTAGGTGGTGCCTATGGAAAAGGTTTTAAATATCAAAAGTGTGGAGTTTCCCTGAATGTTCCACTAAAGATTACAGCATGGCTGCAGGATTTCCAATTACTTTCAACTCCCCTTAATATCACTTTTCAATCTGATCTATTGCTCTGTTCTTGTAAAAATTATAGATTATAAGTGTATAAAAGTTTAAATATGAGAATCACCATTTCACCACAGCTAGGGCCATTCATTTCCAATGAACTCATTGCTACGGGCTGCTAGTGAGTCATAATATTTAAAACATGCTTCATTGTGAAATCATCCTACACCAAAAAGGATGTTTGTTGCAAATTTATTTGAATTTGAGCCAATTTGACTGCACTCTCAGATTGAGAATCTGTAGAGTCTGTAAGAGTACTCTCAAAATGAAATTTGCTTTAAATTACTTTTAAAAAATAACACAATATATGCTGTTTTGCTTTCAAAATAGCTTAGTATTGTCCTTCTGTATTAACTTGCTTATTAACTTAAAGGAATTCTGACTCACCAACCAAAATAAGACACATCTTTCTTCTATAGAGTAGGAAAAATAGAATATCTTTACTTGTTTTACTCTTTCCCCTTTGAAAAACATTTACTCATAAACTTGTGATTTCTATTACTGAAAAACATTCCAAAGGTTTACAACCAAAAATGAACTTACCACAACCATTTTTCCATCCTCTATTTTTCTTTTTATTATTGTCTCTTTGCCATCCCACTTCTGCACCTGATTGAGTGAGCCATTGTCTAGTGTCACAATACTCTGCCAAGAAAAATTATCTGGTCAGTTTCAAAACCTACTGAAGAAAAGCCAGCAAAAATTGTGTTTGAAATATGTGCTAGTCATATAATCAATTTAGGGAAAATAACACAATTCTCAAACTATGCACAATGTGTAAGGCAATAATCAGTATTCAATAGGGCTTTTTAAAAAATAATGAAATCACTAGCATAGTGAAAGTTTTGCTACCTGCAAGAAAATAATCACAGCCAGAAACAACATAAACATAGCCTGGAACACCTAATATCTATTTGTATAAGTAGGAAGCCATGAACAGAAGAGTCAGAAGCTGCTACAGAAGTGTTCCTTCCGCTCTAGGAAAGGGGGGAGTATCAGGAAGAGACTTTGGCTGGCTCCTTTGTCTTAATGGGGTATCAGTGGGAAGCAAGGTAAAAGACAAGCAGATTTTGTTACTATAATCTATCTCAATAAAGCGTATTCTAGTCTTATTAGGAATTAGTTTCCTAATCTGGTCAGCCTTGCAGGACTGATGTTATTTTTATTTTGCCTCTTCCATAAATAACTCAAGGAGGCGAACATACAGGTATAATCCTCAATGTACAGCCACAATTGAGTCCAAATTTTTTTGTTGCTGAGCAATAATTTGTTAAGTGAGTTTTCCCCCATTTTAGGACCTTTCTTGCCACAGTTGTTAAATAATCACCATGGTTGTTAATAACACAGTTGTTAAGTGAATCTGGCTTTCCCATTGACTTTCCTTGTCAGAAGGTTGCAAAAGGTGATCACGTGACCTTGGGACATGCAACTGTCATAAATACCTGCTAGTTGCCAAGTGTCCAATTTTCATCCCATGACTATGGGGATGCTGCAATGACCGTAAATGTGAAAAATGGTAATGAATAACTTATTTCAATGGCATTGTAACTTCAAATGGTTATTAAATGAACTGTTAAGTACCTGTACTTAATATTCCTTTCTCTTATTTACCCCAAAAACAACTACCTTGTGAGGTGAGTTGGGCTGAGAGAGAATGACTCTCCTTTGGCTTTCAGGCCTAAGGTGGGACTAGACCTCAGACTTCTGATTTCTAGCCTGGGGCCTTAATCAAAAGACCAAATTGGCTCAATATATGTATGGATATAGATAGTCCTCAACTTAGGACAATTGAGCCCAAAATTTCTGTTACTAAGCAATACAGTTGTTAAGTGGGTTTTTCCCCATTTTATGATCATTCTTGCCACAGTTGTTAAGTGAATCAGGCTTCCCCATTGATTTTGTTTGTTAGAAGGTCACAAAAATTATCACATTACAGCGGGACACTATAACTGTTGCAAGTATGAATCAGTTGCCAAGTGTCTGAATTTTGATCATGTGATCATGGGGATGCTGCAATAGTCTAAAAATGGTCATAAGTCACTTTTTCAATGCCGTTGTAACTTTGAACAGTCGCTGAATGAACTGTTGTAAGTCGAGGACTACCATATTTGTTGGCATCTACTATATTTCATTGAAGGCAAACGAGGTCCAGGCAGAAGAAGAACACCGTGGCTTCAAAATCTAAGGGACTGGTTTGGACAAAACTCAGCAGCACTTTTTCGTGCTGCTGCTGATAAAAACAGGATCGCTAACATGATCGCCAATGTCCGATAATGGATATGGCACAAGAAGAAGAAGATGTTTCATGCAGTGTACAAATTTTTCATCTAAAACCATTAATTTAATCTGCAGGAAACTGGCATGTTACATGGCTGGCTTCACACATCTTCAATTTGCCAAGGTTGAGAAACATTGCGTTACAGTTTACTTTCATCAGTGCTTTAGATCTCCAAGTGGACTGGATATTCTTAATTAACAAGAACATGTGGTTGCAGCCCAGTGTTTGACTTGGATGTCACCTGCCCTGAAAACAGCAAAACAGGAACATCTTGTAGGACAAAAGGGCTTAAAGGCCTTGTTTCCCAACTTAAAGCTTCTTGAAATTCTTAGCCAATTCATTAAGTTGGTATTCATGTCCCACACAGCCATCATTTTAAAAATGAGGAAGTTCCCAAATAGCCATTTTCCAAGACAGTTCACAACACATTTTCAAGAGTCCAAATGTACTCAATCAAAATGATTTCAGGGAAAGTAGGGCACTCACCTTTACTTTTCTGTCATCTGCTGTGGTCTCATCAAATTCTTCTTCTAGTTTGAAGGAAATCTCAGTGTTTTTGAAACTGCTTTCTGACTTGATGGTTATAACACCCCCACTGCAGGTGATAATTACATTGGGCTTGGCCACTCCAGCTATTTTCCTAGTGGCAAAGCCCACACCTATAAATCAAACCAAAAATTATAAATTTCTTATCACAAATTTCTTGACCTTGAAGACTGAATTGAAAAAAAAACTACTTATAAAGACTTGATTCAAACTGGGTTATAGCCAAACCCCTACAGAATAAGAGAATAAAGAGTTTAAACACAAGAGTTCCTTTCCTACTGTCATTTTTATCTTGATGGGGTTTACCTTTGATTAGAGCTTCACTGTGTAAAAATGCACCTGGAGATGAGACAGATTTTAGGGTATGATGTGCAAGCTAGATATTTGATTTGGGGACCAACTTGAATTATGTAGTAAATTAAGTTAGGTGACTCTCTTGTCTGCAATAAACTAGGCTGAAAATAATACAGCAACTGCCCAATCCAATCTCTGTTCTCTCCCAACTATTTGGTATATTTTGTATACAAAATCCAAATTATTTTCCATCAATTAGCTTTAATATATGTTTTCATAAATGTCCAGGCTGATTTCATTTGTTCTAGATAACAAATAGCATAAGGTGGCTTTCTCTTTTAAGGCAACATCACTATTATAATTACTCAAAACCATAAACATTATAAATATTTAAATGAACCAAACTATAAACTGATGAGAGGAATACTAAAAGCCCTCCTTATATACAGGGTAATATTTATCCCAGGCTGTCATAGATTGCAAGTTATGACTTGCAGGAACACACTAAAGGGCTTCCATGGTGATGGGACAATGTAGGTGAGGTTCTACATTCTAAGGCATTGGAACAGCTTTTTCTATTTTTGTCCAGAGCGTAACCATTCTTTTTAAACAAGCACTTTATTCAATTGCTTATTTACCAAATGTTACCTTCATTTTGACGCCCATCTCCACTGAATTTTCTTTTCAAAATATTGGGGCCAAATATAATTTCTTGAAATATTATATAAACTAAATTCCTTACTGTACATAATTTGATATAATCCAGATCTGCATTTCATTTGAATAAATATTCTTTGCAACAGCTGATCTCTACAAAACTTTAGGTATAAGATTGTCCCCCAGGTTGTTTAACAATAGCAGCCGAGATCCCTGCGAAGCTACTTTACACCTAGTGAGAAAGTGACTTAATTCTCACATAGCACTGAGCTATGATTCATTTAAGTGAAGCCTGCTGGCTGAAAAATGCAAAAATACAGACAATCCTTAGGGGGGGGGGAGTGTAAAGAGATACAGAATACTACCGCTTTATTGCCATGTTGTCTATTCCAAGTTAACAGCAGTCTCAGAACTCTTCCATATCACTTACTGCTAGAGGTCCCATTAGCCAGAATATGAAGTGTAAAGCCTTTGCAGACAAAGCAAGTGTTCCAGGATAAAACTATGGGCCTCCTTGAACTTGAGGGGTCCAAAGAAAGAGTGTAACAGATTTAGAGGTATCTTTATTCCTATGCCCAATATATATAGTATTAATATTGGAAGTAGGCTATTTGCATGCATTAGTTTCACTACACTTAAATAAGGGGCCAGCATTCTACTTAAAAGGTGCGGTGGATAAACAATGCAAAGCTTCAGGTTAATTCTTTGAAGTATCATTAATTTAAAGCAGGCATGTCTGATAAGAGCATTGCCTCTAGTTCAACGCTCACAGCCAAGCACCACAAAACCTTGCTCAAATTTGGCCAGAGGGGAAAAAAAAACCCATAAACGTTCATATAAGGGAGTATCCAATTAGAGCTTCTTATGTTTGGAATATTTTGTCAACATTTGTATCAATATTCTCAATGTATGTTGAGAAAATATCAGACAATAAACATTTAAGTAAACAAGTAGCAAGAGCTCCTGTGGTACATAACCTGGATACAAATGCTACACAAAAGCCCAAACATGATTGCATGCTCTTCTAATATTTATTAAAACAATTTCATGGTAACATTCTACAGACAAGCCATGCCACATTATTAACAGAGTTTGCACATTGAGAAATTAGTTGGAAGCCAGATAAAATGCAAATGAATTTTACTCAACAGACATATAACATGGATTACTCTGGAATCTAGCATAGCTAACATACTGTAAGAAGTTTTTCTTCCACATTACTATTAACAATAAAGAAAATACAAATGGGAGCTATATTGTCACAGGGGTTACGTTTATAACAAAACAAATTCACTAGTTACATAATAAAAAAATTCTACATATCTACATTCTCCAGCAAAAACAAAGCTTTTACTAAATCCCACAAATAATTCTTACCCAGCTCCTTCATGTAGTCATCAAACTTTTCACTTGAAATTAGTTTCCAAGTTCCCAAAAATGGCTCACACATTGTGAAGGACTAAGTCTCCTAACACACTCCAAACACCTTCCTGCAAACCTCAATATAGTCACTTCTGTTACTAACTTCACTCATGCCTTTAAAAAGGTGCCTTGATCATGTGATTTTCTGCTATTAGCCAATAGTCACAAAGGCAACCAATGGCTCTGATTTAACAGATTTTTTTTCCCCTTAGTGGGTCATAGTGCTATTAGCCATTAGGACAAAGCATTGTATTACCAGCACTTAACTATTATGTTTTGTTCCAGCAGCAGCAGTGATTTCTGCTACTTTTTCTTTTTTTTCAGTTATACTGTATTTGGTATGACTAATCCACTGCATAAAAAGCACTGACCTCTGCACTGATCTAGCAATTAACTATTTGTTGTAACATTCTAATTACATACAATAAACAGCACAATCCTATGCATGTCTGTTCAGCTGTCAATTCCACTGGGATTTACTTCAATGGGATTTATTTACACAAAGTTTGGAGAACTCTTTGTATCTTAAAGCTTTCAGAATTCTTTTTATGTATGCAATGAACAAGTCAAACAAATATGCTTCCTATCACTATTTAACTTGATTGTGATGATAATAGGAGCCTTTGATTTGCTGCAGGTATTTTTAATTATCTTTATGTGAATTATAAATTGACCTAATCCTGAAAGAGCACAGATATTCAGCCAACTGTTTGACACAACAAAGAGCTTAACATTTTATTCAGAAGAAAGAAAAGTGTGGTTGATTCACTTTAATGACTGGGTTTTTTAATGACTAGAAGAAAGATGCTGTACTTATGTGAGGTTTGAAGCATTTCTTCTGAAACAATACTAATTCAGGTTTTATTTGGTTTTAGTGTAAACAGTCATTGTGGTTTGTTAACCATGGTTTATGCACTGTGTTTTGTGAACCCAACAAATGAAATAATTAGTACAAACTTTTCCAATTATAATGGATTTCCCCATTGGTTGGTATGTTGATAACACCAAATTAGAGAAAATTGTATTATTACTAAAATAAATTTTTAAATAATAATTTTAGAGAATATTTTCCTACTCTCTTAAGCACTGCCTTATATTGCAGAAACAATATACACATATGTTGATTCCTAACATTAGGAAGCAAATCTTTGCAAGAATGTCTTAAATTGTAGGAGTTGCATCACTGAAACTCTCTTTCAAGCAGGACATTTTTGCAAGAAGAGGGGATCAACCTATTTTACAAAGCAACAGAAGACAAGACAACAAAGGATGGAAACTAATCAAGGAGAGAAGCAACCTAGAACTAAGGAGAAATTTCCTTACAGTGAGAACAATTAACCAATGGAATGGCTTGCCTTCAGAGGTTGTGGGTACTCTATTACTGGAGACTTTTAAGAAGAGACTAGACAGCCATTTGTCTGGAATGGCAAAAGGTCTCCTGCTTGAGCAGGCGGTTGGACTAGAAGACTTCAAATGTCCATTTCAACTCAGTAAGGCTTCAAACTTAAACTTCCTTATGAATGTATATATCTGGGCTACTACTATTGATGGCCAATTCATGAGAAAGTTGTTTCAGGATTGTATTTGCACAGTCTGAGCCTCTGCATTGTTAAATAAGTATAAATAAAAGCTGTATGTGCCTATTTGGAAGTACAATACATTCTACGTTTTACAGAAAGAAATAGGAAAAATACATGAAGCACTAGAAAATAAAATAAATGAAAAACTAAACAAACAAAAGACTAAAAAATGGAGGAAGATTACAAAGTATCGAAATCAATGCCACAGAAAATCTATATATTAAAATATTACTCTAAAAAGATTTTAGTGATTCACAGGACCAAATCATGAATCAATGACCCCTCAAATTGTTTATATCACCAACAGATATTAATCCTTTAAATCCTTTAAAATTTGGGATGTCCACTACAGTTGAAATGAATCCATTTTAATTTTATATCCACAGAAGCAGCTTTAATATTTTGAAGAACTGCAAGCTTTGATGTGTTCCAATTCTTTAATCCATGAGCCCTCAGTGTCCTTAATGCTAACTTTAAAAATATTTGTTTAGTTTTGATACAGTTACAGGCATCATAATTGCTGATGTGGGGCATTTGGTTTTGACAAAATTTGTTATTTCACAGGCATATTTTTATTGTTTAAAAATTTAAAGCATCCAATGAAGAAAGGGGAACTTGTTTGCTTACTTCAGGAGTTATATCCCAAATACAATAAATTGTTCCAACCACCTTGGAAATTGTAGAGTTGTGTTAATTTCTTTCCTATTGTATCTCAATAAAGACATACCATGATAGAGCCATATGTTTTAGCTCAAGCTCAGTAAGCTTTCTTAAGATCTGGTGAATATCCCTGGAAATTGCAAATATTTGATCATGCATACCTAAGAGGATTTATGTGGATTTCTGCTAATATGTGTAGGGTTCATATGGATTGCCTTCCTGCTAATTATGTTCTCATACCCCTTTCTAAAATAAATGTTTCAGTGTCTTTATTATTTTGAAGATTCAGTTTAATTCCATTGATTTGTGAATTATACATTTTATGTGATTACTAAAAAATGAATATCAAAAGTTCACTTTTGCATAAACTGTCATGAAATCCTAAATCAAATTGGTCCCTTCCAAATGTGATGAGACAGCATGTGTGGAATTCCCAGTCAGGCTGACCTTTAGTAAAAATACAATTTTTGGAAATATATTCATGAAACCATATTTATTTTTAGAAGAGAAATGAACTTTGTTCATGATTTTTTTCCCCTTTCGGGATCCTAGCTTGAACTATTGCTTGCTTTTTTTTCCCCTACAAGGGAAGCAAGATTTCATTTTTGAGCTACAATTTAATAGAAACTACTTATCCTATTATTCATTATCAACACCTCTTGTCGCTGGTGAAGCTGTTTTGGAACATTTTCGTTTTCCCAGACGTTTTAATTGATGTAATTGTCCTGACCACTGCTTTTTCCTGCTCTCTTTGATTATACTGCTATTATATTTATTGTTTTTATATGATGTTTTATCATCACCCTGAAAATATCTGGAGAGCCACAAATTCCCAATTCTTGCTCTGCTTAGGGTGATATAGATCTTGAGTTGTACTGTGGATTTCGGGGGACAATTTACTGTATGAGAAAACAGACCAATCTTATTAATTTAACTTTTCTGTGAAATCACCGAACGTGTGCTTGTTGGAGAGGTATTTCGCTTGTTGTTTAAAATATTTGTTTATTTTTACTTGCCACAAATCAGAACCTATCCATATTTGACCAACACAAATTGTAGTTAACTACTGTTAATACCTCAAAATAAGAGAGAGGAAGAGAGTTCTTGAAATTTATCTCCTGCATATCCTGTCCATTATTTCCGTAGGAATAATGACTCATGTTTCCATAATATCTGAGATTAAGAATCCTGCAGTATTGTACATCTTGAACAAGTTTTCAACAGAAATGACCTTGATTTTAGAGACGCTGATAAAACAGAAATATATGGCGAAAGTAAATACCACCATTTTGACTTAGGCTTGATGCATAACACCTACTCAGATGTTTCCATTTTCCTAGCTACAATGATTTTATGCTAAAGTAGTTTTGTATTTGACACTGTATTTAATTAAAAATAATTGGAAGGAAAGGCAACATTGTTGCAGACTTCCTTTGAAGCTCCTAAATGAATGAATCATCTTGCCATGCATTGTTCCAGATTAATGCCCCATGATTGTTTCTGCCTCAGTCATCAGCAATTTGTGGTTCATAATCACTGAACCAGATGAATGATGTCAAGAAGCCCACAGTGAGAAAATTGGAGATGGAGGGCACCTTGTTCTGTTATGATTTCCAGTGCCCTGCTTTTTAGCAGAAAGGCATAGATCAAAGTATAAATGAAAACTTTTCTACTTCTGCCAAATAATTCAAACATTTTTATTACATATCAGTTATAGGTGGACATGTTAAAGCAAGGTGGGTATAGTAGTTATGGCATCTGGAAAGAAAGCAGGAGACTATGAATTCTAGTCCTGCTTTAGACATAAAGCCAGCTGAGTGACTTTGGGCCAATCATTTCCTCTCAACCCTAGAAAGGAGACAGTGGCAAACTACTTCTGAAATCTTGCCAGGAAAACTGCAGGGACTACTCTAGTCTAGGCCGTCGGCAGGAGTCAAGATTGATTCCAAGATGCCTGTGCGCGCTTGCGCGCGCGCGCGCGCGCACACACACACACACACACACACGTACATACGATAAAAGCTTGCTTCTTTCATTGCTTTGTTCTTATCTTATTTACTGGATGGCCGAATAATGACAGCTTTCCCCTGCAGTACAATGTACTTTCCTGCTTTTTTTTCTTTTAACTGTTGAAAAATGTACTTTTCAGGAGTTAAGAACTTTGTTAAGGACAAAGCAGCCAGCACAAAAAAAGTAGAAACTTGTTTTAGTTTCTGTACCTCAATGTACCTAGCCATGTTGCTGAAAGACAGGTCCAAGAATCAATTTTCATTGGTTATACTTGCTGGGGCTACTGGGAATTGTGATACAAATCCAGATGGCTGCAATTTGCAGTTGATAGTTATGATTGTTGTATTGTTGGAAAGATTTGAACTCTTTTCTTTGAAATAATTATCCATCTTAAAACTGCATTATATAATTGATAGGATTGAACAGAGGTCTAGAAATAACTTGGAAGAATTAATTAAGAATGCAAATATACCCCCTGTCTGCGATTCTTCAAAACAGCTGCATCTTTTCTGAGGAATGCATAGCAGTCAGCTGCAGCTACCATATGACTCAAAGAAAAAATGTTATTTTACAGAATTCCAGAAAAAATGTTACATTCATGCTCCTGTGTGCTCTGAAGAACATCTTGGAGACTGAATTTCAAAACCCACACAATCCTAAACATCTTACTTTCTGTACTTTATTTATATAACAATGTTGGATTCCACTGAATTAATATTATGACTTCATTCCACATCCACATTTCTTTTTATAGGGTTATTTTGAGGCAGGGGATTTAGTAGCTGCTCCAGGTTTAAGTTACAATGGCTTATTATTATGACCACTTGTTGAGGACTTACTGAATAAATAGATATACAGTTGTGATTTAAATATTTCAAGGTTT